TATACGAAGTAAATAGATCCCATTCCACGGGTTTCTCCCCTCTTAGAGTCAATCCAAGGAGATGTCCTCACTTTACGAAAGCGCCGACTCCGATCCTCGTCCTCACCCCAAAGAGAACCTCGCTTTCCAAGGAATGTCTGGAACTCTGTCATTATGCTACAAAAACGGCCGTAGACGAGTCACCGCCGACAGGTTACTTGTACAAACACGTGATTCTTTGTGGGACCCGTCATTGCCACGTGAATTCGCCTTTGTGCACGATTATCCGCTCCTAAGCTCTTTCATGCTTTCTAACGAATTTGTTCTTCAGAATTTTTGTCCACTTCTCTTTAACAGTACGGGGTATAAATGCACGCTTTCAGGACATGGGTGCGGTGAAGGTGATCAAGAACAAAGCGTTCTTCAAACGCTTCCAAGTGAAACTAAAAAGGCGACGTCAGGGCAAGACGGACTACTATGCAAGAAAAAGGCTAACAGTACAAGACAAGAACAAGTACAACACTCCGAAGTACAGACTCATCGCTCGTTTCACGAACAAGGACATTGTGGCTCAGGTAAGACGGGTGGTAGTGCAGATGTATTCAGCAATTGTTACCTTGGCAACTGGCCCCTTGAACCTCTTCACTCTAAGGCCGCTTTCATAGTTCGTGACATGGGAGAGGATAGTAGTAGAGTAGGAGATTGCGCTGACAAGATTGGATACGTATCGATTGAAATCGCTGGAGAGTAGTAGATTGGGCGACTTCAAGCGAATAGATCAATACATATCTAATCTTGTCAGCGCACTATCCTAATCTACTACTATCCTAATCTCCTACTCTACTACTATCCTACTATCGTAATATCGCAATCTACTACTCTCCGGCGATTTCAATCGATACGTATCTAATCTTGTCAGCGCACTCTCCTACTCTCCCACTATCCTAATTTACTACTGTCCTATTCTCCCGGGTGTGGTTCACTAGGACAGAAAGCGACTTTTTCGCGTTTCGCAGCGCGAAACATTTTTCGCTGCGGAACCTCAGGTCCACCGCTGATCATCAGTGGACCTGAGGTTCCCGCAGCGAAAATGTTCGCGCTGCGAAACGCGAAAAAGTCGCTTTCTGTCCTAGTGAACCACACCCTATTCTCCCCATCAATAAATATCTTTTTCATTGTCGCGTACTATCGTTAATCTACGGAGTCACGGACAATGAACCGAGGTGCCCGGCTTCGCCACCGACAAGGACGACGCTCCTCCTCGAGCTTGAGTCCAACCGCACCACCATCCTAAAGATCCATACCTGTACGACCTAAAGTGGAGAGAATATACTCTCAGAAATTCCAATATTTTCCCCCACCTCTAAGGACATCTAAGCCCTACTCACGAGTACAGCCGTTTTAACCAAAAGAACCCGCGAGTTTGTTGAATGTGGGAGAATGTCCAGGCGCCAAAGGTAATCTCACTACCACTGGTCCCAACAATCCTGCCACAATTTTCTTTTCCGTCAATAACATTGCCTGTAGGCGTAATTCGACTTTCGCTGATGCGCACAAACATATGCAGTACAGTTTTTTGACGGTCTGGCGCACCGTTTCAATTAAAATACAGCTCGAATGTAGCATGGTTACAGGCTTAATTCTGGCTTCTGAAAATTACGAAAATTGTAGATTTTTCGGAATCTGCTCTGTGATAACGCTATTTTCTGCTGTCCCATGCAAGTCTCTCAATTTGTAGTGCCCAGCCTTCGCCTGCCTGCGCTGTGCACCAGCTCAGTTCCCTTCTCTTTCCCTATACATCAGTGCTTATCGCGAACTTCCTGGTTCATCTACACACTCAGCGATTCGAAACGATTGTTGACCAAATTCCTCTCACCCTTAAATAATCTCGTGAACCTACGCTGAAATTTCACACCTGCCCACCTATTCCGTCTTTTATCCAGCGCTGTAACATCATTTCAGGGTAACTCAACCGCTTTTAGGCAGAGCCTTATCAGTTTTCCTACAGAATCAATTCACCCACCTATAACAATAAGTTTCGCAAATCTCATAACCTTTACTACAATTGAAACGCAGCTTCAACTTTAAATGGCGCATCTAATTCGTTATATACCGGATATCTTAGTGTCGCTTTTCTGAGTTCAGGAAGTTTTGGGGCCGATTACTATGGAAAATCAATATCCCAGAAGGCAGTTTTTGCTCATTAATATTGCGAAATATGTTGCTTACCGTCTTCTATTGTTGGTTCACAATTTAACTTTCCCCCAATTTTTATACTTTCTTCTGAAAATTCCTGGGTCCAGTGTGCAAATTCGCATGTGTGTACCAAATGCATCAAAATTCTTGCTGAGAGCTGTAACCTCCGCCCACCAAACCAGCATTGCATTTGATGGAGGGAATACTACCATTTAAAATGCTCATCGGTTTTTCACAGTTTTCTTAAAAGACAGTAAAGTCTTTGAAGGGATGCCCGCAACCGTCGCCAAAAAGGTGGTCCTAGCTAAATCAGTCAAAACGGGGCTGCACCAGTCTTGTGCTGGAATGGTAGGACACCCTAGCAGTTACTGATCGATGGTGCACAGACGCTCTAACGAAGTTGATTGACCAAGAAATTCTAATAAATGTGCTCATCTGCTACTCACGTGTGCTCAAAAAGGGTGCGTTTTTGACCCCATGTGGCAAAAAAGACTCCGGGAAAAATTGTCCAGTTGAGCTGGTAAGTAATAAATTTTCCACCAAACAGTGCAGACCCTACTCTAACTAAATGTATACATATTTTGTCCAGGCCCAACTGTTTAGCAAGGTAGAGGCGTAATAAC